AAATAGGACAAAGGAATTATTTTACCATTTTTTCAGTTCATTTGTTACCAGTTCCTGCATATGTCCAGTAATTCCTTATTCCTGGATAATAAAGCTGAAAAACACTCCACAAATTGATTAGTTTAGGCAATTACATTTACAAAACAATGCAGTTTATTTTTTCTCATACAGGCAAGACTACCCACCCCCAACAAGGACAAATTCTCCCCCAGCTGTAGCTGAAAAGCATGGTCACACAGCTGTTAAAAAGGTGGTCTCTCCTTCATGAGTCAAAATCATATATATATTTATACTAATATTCTGTGTATACGCACACATAAATCTATTATTCACTGAATCTGCTTTACTAAACGTATCTTTTTCTTAACTACTAATTTAATACATTTTGTCCAAATCTCTTTTCAACTAGACAAATCCATGAATGCCAAACAAATGTAAATTAGTACACAAACAGGGTCAAATTTAGCAATAAAACCTGGTGAACTAGTTTAGTGAAAAGTCTTTTCCTATGCAAATGGTAGCAAACAATGAAACTAGGCCCTTAACTCATTCACACCATGTGGTCAATGGTGGATTAAAATCCACATGGTCAGACAAAAAGTAAAATTGTTTTTTGTTTTATATATAAAAATTACCAAAGGTTGGTAAAACGTAACAAGCAACACAATAATTCATCACTATGTTCTACAACAAGAGATACCTTAAAAAACAAATATCTAATCCCTAGCTGCATTCATTCCATTAAAACCAAATCATCATTCATTTATTCATTTGTATACAGACAGACAATTTACAGTATGATTTAAGCAAAATGCATAACATTTATATTTTCCCCAATATTCAAGCATAATCCTGCCGACTACGCCAAATGTTGTGGTGTGACCTAAATATGAATATTAATCTCTTAATACATAATAATTAAGCAATACGGAACAACATTAATATTTTTATAATTCATGGTATTATGGTCGAATATGTGGATAGAAAATACACAAAACGTTGTAATATTAAATGTATATTTAATATAACTATAATAAATAAACAGATGCTAGCAGAATGTCAATTTTAATAATTATACAATACAATACTACACAAAACACTATTGGTTGCTATATATTATACAAAAGGCTATTACAATTGCTAACTGTTACAATGGATTCATATTACTTACAAGGCCCCAGCCAAAGGGCTGGGGCTAAGTCAGAGCTGGTGCTACATGATCAGTCAGGTACAGGCAAACAGAGCTTGCTTCTCCTAACATCTGGTTTTTATTCAGTGTAAGTAGGCTGGCCTGTGATGTCACTGCCAGAAGCACAGGTCTTCCTACACACTCCCCCTAGAGGTGCCCCCAAAGCATTACACTAAATATGCTTTACTGACATCTAGTGGTGCGTCTAAAGCATTAAGCTCATTATGCTTTTTTTTATGACAAAGTCATTAATTAATAAATACCATTACAGGTACTTTTACTTACCAGTCTACCATAGTTCACAATAAGAGAAAGCTGGGAGTGAAACTTTATCTCATGAAATATAGATAAGTAAAAAAGTCTGAAGAAGGATATAAGCAATCTAGTCTAACTAAGGCCTCATATTAATATTTGTTTGTTAATCTTTTCAAATGATTTTATATTTTTAGATAAACTTTTAAAAATATTTTAAAAATACATTAAAATATCAGAAAATCTTGTGGAGGCCATGTAAAACCTATAGATTATTTTCCGCAAAATTTCACTGTGTGCAGTGTTTAACGTATTGCTTTTGCTTTTGTAGACTTCAAATATCGTACCTTATTTTTTGTGAGCTACCATGTGACCAAGGTCTGCTTTCCACAGATTTGGGGATAATATGGGCAGAGATTGTCAGGATTACTAGATGATCCAGCACATAGAACTGTATCACACCTAGGACTAATATGTAATGTCTTACCGGGCCTTAGAATGGCCAGACTTAACATACCTAAGAATAGTCAGAATACTAGCCGAGGTCAGGGATAAAGAAAGAGACACAAAGATTAGGGAAAGCCAGAAGTCAGGGATACCAGAATACAGGGAAGTCAAAACAAAGCCAAAGTCAATAACCAGGAGTAAACGTTCAGAAACACACTCTCGGACAACAACTACTTGTTGCTGGGGTGCAATGTGTTCCCGATTTTGTGTAGGTTAAAGCTGGATAGTAACTTGGAGAGAGCTTTACAAGAGGATTAAAGGGATTCTTTTTTGAACAGAGAGGATAACTTGGTAAGTATGTGCTGGAGAAAACTACGTTGATCAGAGTTCAATACGTAGAGGTCTACCAAGGTGTAAAGAGTATTGTTTAATAGACATACCATAATTAACTAACGGCCTGGGGGATAAACCAGTTTTTTAATCAATTTGAAGGCAACTGAGATATGTATGTAAATAGATACACCCATGGCTTTGGTTTTGTAAGCTGCGTGGTGTTGGATTGTATAATGGGAGGATCCAAAATTTGGTAACTTCGACTTCAGGAAATGTGTTTCTTGCAGAACCAAAATAACAGCATGGGCGTGTTGGGACTCTTTAAGTAACATGCCATTTGTGAGGAAAAACGCTCATAAAATTATGTGGGTGGTGATTGGAATGCTAGGTTGGTGAGTATTCAACAGTGTTTTTGTTATCTGATTGTCTTAAGATATGATGTAAGGGTCACTCAGGGGAATGACTGTAGGGATTTCTTGGTTTGTAGCCTAAGGTTGCAGTGAGAATGGGAAAGAGGGTAGACATAGTAGCAGCAATCGTTTGGCTACAACAACATAAGTAAAGAGATATGCATTAAGGGGAGCTGAAGGTTCAGTATGCCTATACCTGTCAGGATTGTGTTCGTTTGACTTGGTATAAAATAATTTACTAGTGGGCATTTGAGTATCTTTCAAATCTGTTCATGACATCATAGGAGTATTTGGGTGTGAAGGTACCTTCAGTAGAGGTGGTAAAGGGCGTAAGACCCAAACAAAACTAAAAAAAAGTATGTACAGGAGCACCCAGGGTACGGTGCATTGAGTGGAGTCATGATCCATGGAGGGCATGGATTATAGCCAGAAATATCCCAATAAGAAACAGTATCCGGAACCTTTGTCTTATGACAGTTTGGCAATATATCTACGGCTTGGTTGGTCATATAATGATCAACAGGTTATACATCATCAGGTTGTACATAAGCATTATCTGTGTAAACATGTCAACAATAACATAGTACTCTGCTAATTATACCCATGAGATAGATGGACAGATAGATAGATAGATACAACATCTATCTTCTATTTTTATACAAAATCTAGCACCAGAATTGTTCAAAGCGTGAGTTAACATGGTACAAACATGACATAAAGTGCTTAGTAATGTCATCAGTGGGGAACATTGTCACATGGAAAGTACAGAAAGATTTTTAGTTGGCATTTGATGTGTCTGAGAAACAATTAAGAAAATTATTATTTTTTTAGAAAGCAATATAACAGACGAGTGCTGCATTTAGGTTATCATTGGGGTTAACATTAGCACCTAACAAAATAGAGCGTTACTTTTAAACGGGGGGAAAAAAGGCAGATTAAGTTACGAATGGAGATGGGTTCATGCGAGACAAGCTCCATTCGATGGGCATGAGCAGCATTGTTCATTTTTATCAATTTTAGCAAGGGCAAATAGTACAATAAGCTATATGTGGTGTGTGAGATGGTCAAAATATTAGAGAGAGAAAACATGCGCCTCAAGTGCACAAAAAAAGGTGTAAGTAAATTATAAACCATAAATACTTAACAAACATGAGGCCTCGGGTAGAAATGGGATCTCTGCGCTCCTCCATGATCCGCTGCCATTCCGATCTCAGCTTTCCAGATGATACCCAATATGGAGATGAGCAACCAGTTGATAGGTTACATTGTTCCAGTAAACATGAGCCTTCTTCAGGAGTATTGATCGTGATGGTCACTCCATTTCTGGATACCAATAAACAGGTCGGAAATCACAATCGCTAAAGGATGCAGTGCTCTCATAATGTTTTGATTACTTTCTGGTAGGTCCTCCTGGTCTGGAGAGTGGCAGCGGAGAGATCGGTGAAAAACTTTACGTTGGAATATTAAAATGGTAAGTCCCGTTTTGTGCGACCATTTTTCAGCAGTACTTCATTGGCATGGTAGAAGTCGGCTCTTAAGATCACATTTCAAGGCACTGAATCCAGCAAATGCGGGGGCGTTGGAGTCTATGTACTCTATATAGTAGGAATAGATCTTGTGGCAAATCTGGGACCATATGCTTAAACAGGCACAAGACGTATTCATAAAGGTCCGGAGGTTTTACCAATTCAGGGACACCACTAAGTCGGTCATTATTCTGCCTTGACCTGTCCTTCATGTCGGCCAGTTTCAATTCACATGCATCTAGGCATTGCTCCATTTACTGCAATAGAATTGTGGGCTTTCCTCATATTCACTGAACTTCTTTATCATATGTAAAGTTCTGGTTTCCAATTATTGTAAATCCATGTCAGATTGCCAAGTTGCAATTACTTTGGCAGACATTGCTTCCAAAGAGGCTTGTAAGAACTCCTTTGTGAGGGATTCTAGGCCATGTACAGAGCCCTCAGTCGTTAGGTCTTCAGTGCCATCTTGGATTTCCACAGCGGCAGGTAGTTTAGCCTGTTTCTGTTGGAAGAAATGTAATTTATCGGCTTTTTCTTGCTGCTGTTTTGATTTGTTTTGCGACATGACCGCAATATTGTATTTGTTAGCTAGATTTAGCTGGTAGATACACTAATAACCGGGTTCCATGTTGCGGAACTCTTATTAAGGTATCCGACTCGCATGGCTTCTGGTCACACCCACTCATAGTAAATAATTTTAAATATTTATGATAAATGTTTAAAATTTAGAATTTTTTTTTTTTATATTTGATATTTTTTTATATATATTGATATAATTAAGAAAATAATCATTTTAAAAGTTTATCCAAGAATATTAAATAATTTAAAAAGCTAATCCAAAATAGTTTTTTTTTGTGTGTGTGTGATTTAGATAAGTTCTATGACTCCATAGACGTTGCAAAGCAATTGGGATATGTAGATAGCTGTAATATAGGAAATATCGATCACAACCTGAGGGGGTATTTTCTTGAGATAATTTACAATAGGAGGAGAAGACTGATAGACAATATGTTCTTAGTTGAGAGCAGTCTGTATTATTTGACCCACTCGACATCTATCTATCCATCTATCTATATGTCTATCTATCTATCCGTCCATCTATCTATCTATCAATCTATCTGTCCATCTATCTATCCGTCCATCCATCTATCAATCTATTTCTCTCTCTATCTATCCGTCCATCCATCTATCAGTCTATCTATCTCTCTCTCTCTCTATCCGTCCATCCATCTATCAATCTATCTATCTCTCTCTATCTATCCGTCCATCCATCTATCTCTCTATCTGTCCATCTATCTCTCTATATATCCATCTATCTATCCATCTCTCTCTCTCTCTGTGTCTGTCTGTCTCTCTCTGTCCATCTCACTCTCTCTCTGTCCATCTCTCTCTCTCTCTCTGTCCATCTCGCTCTCTCTCTCTGTCCATCTCTCTCTCTCTCTCTCTGTCCATCTCTCTCTCTCTGTCCATCTCTCTCTCTCTGTCCATCTCACTCTCTCTCTGTCCATCTCTCTCTCTCTGTCCATCTCTCTCTCTCTCTGTCCATCTCTCTCTCTCTGTCCATCTCTCTCTCTCTGTCTCTCTCTCCATCTCTCTCTGTCTATTATTTATTTATAAAGATTATTTCTCCCCTAATAAGGAATGTATACCTGGTGTTTGCACTGAATGACACACTGTATTTGTTTCTCTGTAAAATTTAAATATAGTTTTTAATTCTAACTCTGAGGGTTTTGGCTGGTGGGTGTGGTTTTAGGTATATTCTCCTTGATGTTTGTTTGTGTAACTGTAACTCTATCCCTTATTGCTCCCTGGACAGTGACTCTCCATCTTGGCTAGATGGGAAGCACCTGGAAAGGAGCACTGACGCCATCTTGGTACTCTCTCACGGCCGTTGCTATGGTGATGGGAACGCCTTGTGTCCGGGCGGACGTGACGTCACGCCAGTCTCGCGTGAACACAGCGGCCATTTTTCCATTGATTGCGTCTGCTCCTGGCAGCGAGCTGTGTGCTGGGCCCTGCTGTCTGACTATGTCCCCCGCCTGAGACCAGCCCCCTCCCCCCGAGCCCGAGACATGGGGCCTGGAGAGGACAAGCACCTCGTACCCACGGAGGTAGGGGCCACACACAGGGGCCACAGCCAGCACCTCACACTCTGTGTGCACACAGGGGCCACAGCCAGCACCTCACACTCTGTGTGCACACAGGGGCCACAGCCAGCACCTCACACTCTGTGTGCACACAGGGGCCACAGCCAGCACCTCACACTCTGTGTGCACACAGGGGCCACAGCCAGCACCTCACACTCTGTGTGCACACAGGGGCCACAGCCAGCACCTCACACTCTGTGTGCACACAGGGGCCACAGCCAGCACCTCACACTCTGTGTGCACACAGGGGCCACAGCCAGCACCTCACACTCTGTGTGCACACAGGGGCCACAGCCTGCACCTGTTACTCTATGCACACAGAGGGGCCACAAGCCTGCACCTGACACTCTATGCACACAGAGGGGCCACAAGCCTGCACCTGACACTCTATACACACAGAGGGACCACAAGCCTGCACCTGACACTCTATGCACACAGAGGGGCCACAAGCCTGCACCTGACACTCTATGCACACAGAGGGGCCACAAGCCTGCACCTGACACTCTATGCACACAGAGGGGCCACAAGCCTGCACCTGACACTCTATGCACACAGAGGGGCTACAAGCCTGCACCTGACACTCTATGCACACAGAGGGGCTACAAGCCTGCACCTGACACTCTATGCACACAGAGGGGCCACAAGCCTGCACCTGACACTCTATGCACACAGAGGGGCCACAGCCATTCTATATAATGTGTGTGTGTGTATGTATGTATATATGTGTGTGTGTGTGTGTATATATGTGTGTATATATATATATATTCTCTTCACACACACCAGGGGTCTCAGGCCTCATCCAGGTACTGCCTCTGTGCAAGTGGCCACAACCAGTACCTCAAACTATCTTTACCAAGGGACACATATTTAGCTCTAGTATCTGTACCAGAAGCAACAGGAAGTACTTAAACTATCTATACCAGGAACCCACAGGCCTCAGTGTTCTTTAATGTCTACCGGTACAACAGCAGCTACAGCTAGATCCTCCATCTATATATACTAGAGGCCACAGGTCTCAGATCTTATTCCTGCATATGGGGCCATAGTCAGCCCTCAATCTACCAGTGTGTGCTGTTGGCATCTTTGCTTTCTGGAGATGCAGTTGGTATCAGTATAATCAGGGTTGGCTACTGGTTCTTCACATAATTCTTCCCATGTCAGAGTGTGCCCCAGCATATTGTCTTCTGAGCAGTGTCATGGACTGGGAGAGGAATGTGTCTTCTGTTTGGACACCTAGTGAGAGATCAGCATTTCAGATTTTAATTTGCTACAATTTGGAGTTTAGTGAATAGCCTGTACATTTCTAATGTCTGTGCTGTTTCAATTCATGTGAATTTAGCATTTCACCAGACTTTTGGTCTAATGAATTACTCTACTTTGTATCAGTTTTAGGGACTTAATCATGCAAAATAAGGCAGCATGTTTTAATCTTGTTATAATTGTATCTAAACTGTTCCCAAATCGTAACTGTACAGATGCATAATTATTTTTAAAGGGACAATATAGTCACAAAAACTACCCCCTGATTAATTCACTGCCATTTAGGAGTAGTCAGTTTTGTCTCTGTTTATGAAGCTCTAGTCACACCTCCCCTGGCAGTGACTGACAGCCTGAATGAAAACAAAAATGGTTTCACTTTTAACCAGATGCAACTTACTTAAGGTGGTGTGGTGCCTAGGGTGCAAATCAAAGTGAAATTCTAAATGGCAGATAATTGACCAGTGAGGCTGCAAGGGGCACTACCTATACCCCAAAATTGCCTTAAGTTAAATATGTTTTGGTGCTTATATAGTGTCCTTGGCATAGTTATACTTGCTAGTGTCCCTGGCGTATTGTTCACTATTTCCTTGTGGTGATCCTATTAATGAGAAAGGCGTGCAGTATTTTACTGGTATGTAATGCTGAGTGGAAAGGAGTATACAGAATTTACTATGAACACGTGTGCGTACCCAACCGCTACAAGCATTCTCTGTGAAAATATATTCTCAATTTAATTACTAATCCCAAAAACACCACCACATTGGGGTTTAATCACTAAACAGTTGGCTGAGGTGAATTGAAAACTGAATTGCAGAATGTTTACTAGAATTGCCAAGATGTGACAGTTTTCAGTTCTGCAGTTGTTTAGTGATTGAACTCTTTTGTGTAGTTTTGCACAGCTAGTAGTATGCAAGTGCCTGTCCCGCACATGGCAGTATATGCAGACCTATATTTAATCAATAACCGGTTCCTTGCTTCAACCCCCCTTTAAATGTCTTCGGGGGGGAATGGATGGGCCTAGATACAAGAATGCACCTTGTTGATTCTGAGCGACACATTTTTATCTGTATGATCAGTCTCATGCTGAAGAATTGAAATACTGTGACGGCCTTATATCTGGCACTTGGTGATTAAGCAAACTATTACAATATGTTATAGAATGTATTTGCAATGAGTGGGTTTCCTTTTATTTGCAGGTTTAGTATTGCATCACATTCGCGTGTGGTGACCCATTTCTACACGATGTTGGGTGACATCCAGATTGTGGTATTTGCTTACTGTCATTCTCCTATTAAATTATACTTTTACTGAAACACCTGATGTGATTACGTGGTTGGCTTGTCAGTATTCTGAATAATGGCCATGTTGGTACATAAAGGTGCACAGCAAAAGTTGTGTGACAGTAGTGAGTCATTTTCTGACTAGGCCT